ACCTGTTTTAGGGTTATTATATATTCTGTGTTGTTCATATTCTGTGCAGACTGAGGCAACCTTTTGAAAAAAGCGGGATTAAAAAGACAAAAAATGCAAACAAAAAATAAACGGTAAACAAATAACTGTTGAAATAAATGTATATGCAACAAAAAGCTTGAATTTTAAGCAGCAGATTAAACAGAGACTTGGTGACACAGTGGTTAGAACACAGTATTGCAGGCTAACTGCCGACTGCCAGCAGTTTGATCCTGACCGGCTCAAGGTTGACTCGGCCTTCCATCCTTTTGAGGTCAGTAAAATGAGGGCCCAGATTGTTGGGGGCAAATAGGCTGACTCTGTAAACCGCTTAGAGGGGGCTGTAAAGCACTGTGAAGCGGCATATAAGTCTATTGTTGTTTCCTAACCTTGATTCCTAAAGAGCAGTGACCCCCCCAACCTTATGGGCACCAAGGACCGATTCCGTGGAGAGAGTATTTCCCACGGGTCAGAGGGGGTGTGGTTTCGTGTGCTGCCTGCATCCCATGGATAAGGCTTTGCTTGTTGTGTGGACCAGTTGCTGGCATGGACTGGGGTTTTGGCACCCCTGAAAAAGCCTAATGTTGATCATCAGACTGATCGGTGTTGAAATGGAACACATAAATCCTCCCTCCAGAGATTTAAATCTTAGACTTTCAATATCTTAGAAGTCTTTCTAGCTGTGGTTCCCCCACAGCAATTATAAATTTCTTCAATCGTTGCCAATTTGGGGGGATAAAATGTAATAATACATTCCCATGTTTAACCCTTATTTGCTTTTTCAGTGCCCTATTAATAACTTAATGAAGTCCAACAGTGTTATTGTAGAGCAAAGCAACATCGAGTAATTGTGTTTTTTAAACATTACATTTCTTTCTAACATACAGAAGTTAAAACACAACCTTGGCCACCCATCTGGTTGTCCAGAAAGTCATTTTTTTTGTATTAATTGTGTCTTGAGACAACAGGATATTAGTTTGACATTCCTTAAAAGATAAAGCCTATTTGGTTTGTTAAAACAGGATGTTCCATCTCTTTGTTGCTTTCAGCATTTTCTTTTATTTTGGCACTACTTTTTCATTGTACATATAAAAATTACTTCAAATTTACTCACCTCAAAAACTTTTCCCAATAATATTAGTAATTTAGGAGGCTAATGTGTCATGTCCAAATTGTAAAACAAGAACAGATTTTAAGAAATCCCAGATTTTTTGGGGGAAATTATCCAAAACTAATTAACAATGTTTTAAAGGACTAATTAACGGTGAGTTGATCCAAAGTGTTAATGCCATTTTTTTAAACCCATGAACACAGAAGAAAGATTTATCAGCAGTTTTCAGGGTAGGATTATAATGTCCTTAATGTCTGTTTCTCATGATAATTGGAATCAGAATTAAGCTCCTTCCCTTCATTGCTTGTATTAGTACTTATAAGCTCTTAAAACAGGAACTGAACCGCGGCCAAGATTTTAAGAGGGTCAAATAACTTGTGCTCATACAATAATAATTTTCAAGTTGCATCACTTAGGCGCTATTTCTTTGAAGTCAAAATATAACCCTGGTATAGCTGGGAATCAAGAAAATTATTCTTTCTACGAAGATCACGCTGTAATTGAAAACCTTAAAGTCTGTCTATTCCATAAGTACTCTAAATACTTCAACACTATGTTTCACTGAATATCTCTCCAAGTATATATTAGTCTTGAAACATTCAATTTTTTTATCACTTTGATGTTTATCTAAGAGATAACTTGCCTTTTCTGGCATCTTTTTAACACCTAATAAGAAGAAATTGCCATTGGCAGGAGATTTTTTATAACACAATGTTGATTTTGGTTTGCCAGGTTACAACAAGCAAACAGTATGAAGCCTACTGCTATTCCTTACCTTATAATACAGCTAGTCCTCAACTTACAACCGCAGTTGAGCCCAATTGCTGAGCAAGATAGTTGTTAAGATAATTTTTTCACCTGTTTTTTTTTTTCCCCACAGAAATGGTGCTTTGTGATTGGAATTTTTAAAAGAACCGTATTATTTTTCAAAAATAAAGTTATCCTGCAAAATTACAATATAAAGGGAAAAACTGGGAGAAAGGGGGCAATAGGGGAAGTTGAAAAAAAATGACATAAATCCCCCCACCAAAAAATAACATTTTTAAAAAAGTTAACTTCCAATTCTCCTCAATATGGATACAGTTATAAGATCAAATACAATCTTGCCTTCAGTTGAACAAAAAAGAAAACACAAAATTAAAAATGCGAAAGATAAACATAGCAAACATGCTATGTTTTATCTTTCCTGTTTTTAATTTTGTGTCAAATGGTTGTTTTTAAAATTTTACAGGTTGCTTTTTGATTTTGTATCCAATATCAACAAACTTCCCTGGGGTTTAGAAAGCTTTTTATGCTGCAGCGCCCTCTAGTGTTAAAATCAGGTTAAATCCTCCTTGTTTGCTTCCATGTTTTTATCGAGCCTTATTGGAACAGCCCAGTTCTCTGCTTTGGCAGCTTGTCTGAACTGGCCTGATAGGCTTTTAAACACAAACAGCAGCTGTAATGAAAGACTTTGGTGCTGAAAAGGGCTCCCTTATTTGTAATAGGATTAAAATAGGTGCCGTTACAATCTTAAAACTGCAGCGGTGTGCAAAATGATCAAGGGAGAGAGAGTGAGCTCGAAACGCAGAGCTGCAGCCTGCGCAGGGGAGATCGTGACAAAGTAAAGGATTGATTTAAAAAAAAAAAAAGGAAAAAGTCCATCAGTCCCTGATATAAAAAGCTTCCGGGGGAAAAAAAAAGCTACTATAAAATGTAATAAAATAACAGCTTCCATATTTCCCTGAGATCTGACTTTTGAAAGTGTCGTTTTTTCCTGTTAGCACCGCGCAGACTTGCCAAAGCGACAATGTCTGGGTTGTTTTTCACACTCTCTGCAATATTTCCTGTAGCTGCCAGTTATTGCGATACGTGAGGCGAACCTAGACAGGGTGTTGATGGCATGGCTGCAGAGAGTGTCTGCGGATTTGAAAAATATAAGCAGCTGTCTATTGTCTAGCAATTGAATGAAAAGAAGGACTAACAGGGGACATGACAGCAGTTCCAATATTTGAGAGGCTGACACAGAGAGGAGAAGGGGTGTCAACCTATTCAGAAGTTCAAGATGACATGAAGTGTTAATGTTACTTTATAAGACCTTGGTAAGGCCACACTTGGAAGCTTGTATCGAGTTTTGGTCGCCACAATATAAAAAAACATGTTGATCAGGGGTGGGATTCACATTTTTTAACAACCGGTTCTGTGGGCGTGGCTTAGTTGGTGGCATGGCTTGGTCATGTGACTGGCTGGGCGTGGCCAACTCAACATCACTCACATCGAGGCACGCATCTTGTGGCGTCCTGGCCTCTCATGACTGTGGGGATGCTGCAACAGTCGTAAGTGTGAAAAAGGGTCATAAGTCATTTTTTTCAGTGCCATTGTAACTTTGAGTGGTCCCTCCACACATGCAAAGTACCAGCAAAGGAAGGGAAAAAAACTCTAGAGAAGCTCCGGAGACAGGAAGTCTAGTCTTGCCAAGAATGTAATAAGGGTTAACGGAGAGGCAGTTTCTGTAAGCAACACCAGAATGTTTCCTTCCTGCCTTCCTTACGGGATTAGCCCAGTAATTTCTTCTAACAACCGGTTCTCCCAACTGCTTAGAATGTTATCAACCGGTTCTAGCAAATAGGCACGAACCTGTAGAATCCCACCCCTGAACCTAGTGCCATGATGGTGAACCTATCGCACATGAGAGGTCGCCCGGAAGAGTCCCACTGCGCATGCATGCACGCCACCCGCCCAACAGCTGATTGTCGGGGGTCTCGCATGCACCAAGAAGCATGGTGTGCAGGGGATCACGTGCGCAGGGGGCTTGGGGGCGCGCGCGCATTGGCTTCTAGGTGCTGGCATGTGAGCGCGCGTGCAATTTGCAGCGCAGGAGACAAAAAAGGTTACCCATCACTGACCCAGTGATGGTCATGGGATACTAAATAAGCAAAGAAATCATACTAGGAGACTAAATAAAACAATATAAATTGTAAAGATATAAGCAACAAAGTTATAGTCATAAGTGGGAGGAGAGAGATAATAGGAAGGATGAGATGAAGAATAGTAATACTAAGGAAGATACTTATTGGATTTTATTGATGGGCTTGCTGCCAGAAACTCCAGAAATATAGGCTAATTTCTAATAAGCTGAACAATAGTAGCTCCTAACATGGGACGCTCATAGCAGTCTGTACTAATAGAAGATACTTAAGTGTGCCCTCCGAGCAGGTCATGTCCTGAATTATACTAGTAAGATGCTAAGATGAGATTAGAGTCACCAAGTTGAAAAGTTCAAGTTTGAAACCAAAATATTGAAAACTGTTTATTTTGCTTAGCCAAAGTTACTTATCCTTTAATTCCTCAAATCTTATGCAGCCCCTGGCTATCTTGGCACGATGCAAAATGTCAGTCAAATCACCGAGTCTGTAAATGTTATTTGTTTACATCCAATTGACATTAATTAATTAAAGGTTTAGATTGTCGAACAAAATGGTTCTTGATCTCCTGGAAGGCAGAATGTCGTGCATTCAAGTAGCCAATTAACAAAATACTGAATCTGTTTACCTGCTTCTACTAAGAACTACGCAGATTAAATATTCAGAGAGAGGTGACCAGGGGGAACTATTAGTACGAATGGGCAGGTCTCTAACATTGCTTGAAACAGTTCTGTGTCAGGACACCGATAATTTTGGTTTAGTGGCGATACTTCATTCTCATTCTATTAAATATTTGGGTATACATGATCGTGGTAAACTTTAGCTCCTTGACTTAGGTAGTAAGCCTCCCAAAGTGAGAACTTTTTTCCTCTTATGCACTAAAGTACTGTCTCACTGATAACCCCGTGGTATTAAATATGTCCATATGCCATTATTTACAGAACCCCATTTCATTCTTTTCATTGCAGGAATTGATTACAAAACCACAACAATCCTGTTAGATGGCAGAAGGGTCAAACTGGAGCTCTGGTGAGTCAGCATTATATAAATCTTTCAAAGTAGTGGGAAACCTGAGCAGGGAATCTGAATTCACTAAAGATAATCTGCAACTTTATATAGTTATTAAAATCTGATTTAGTTATGCTGTAATTCATATGAAATATATAACTTGTAAATTAGCTTACGTTGAATCTTCCCTCCATGATGATGAGGAGGAGGATGAATGTTACTCTGCAAGAAAGCAAGATATTGTACAATGTCAAATAAGCTATGAAATCTGGCCCACAAGTTTATTATTTTTATTTTTGTACGTCCTGCCTCTATTTTTTTTTATATATATAAACAACTCAAGGCAGTGAACATACTTCATACTCCTTCCTCCACCTAATTTGCCAACAACAACAACCCTGTGAGGTGAGTTGGACTGAGAGAGAGTGACTGGCCCAAAGTCACCCAGCTGGCTTTCATAGCTAAGGCAGGGCTATCCCTAAAGGTCCTTTTTTTTCAAGAGGCAACTGGACTTTCTGTTTTTTTCTTTGAAGATGTTTCTCTTCTCATCCAAGGAAGCTTCTTCAGATCTGGCTGGACAGTGGGAAATGGAAGGATTTATACTCCTTGCAAACAGCTGGTCATTTGCATCCTTTTTAGAGAGTCCTTGAGGCCACTTGGAGGTTTATACGTGTTGTGTGGCAATCTCTGTCCAGGTGGCCTCAAGGACTCTCTAAAAAGAATGCAAAAGACCAGCTGTTTGCAAGGCGTGTAGATCCTTCCATTCTCCACCCTCCAGTCAGAGCTGAAGAAGCTTCCTTGGATGAGAAGAGAAACATCTTCAAAGAAAAACCAGAAAGTCCACTTGCCTCTTGGGAAAAAAAAAAAAAGCACCGTTGGGATAACCATGACCTGGAGGACTGAGAATCTCCATTGATATAAGGCAGGGCTAGAACTCACCGTCTCCTGGTTTCTAGCCTGGTGCTGCACCAGATGCAACACTAGACCAGACTGGCTCGCTAAACAATATCTAAATATATAATCTACAGAAAAAGGAGGAAAAGTTATGACGAGAAGAAATGCTGACTCTGTCTGGTTTTTAAACACAGATGTTCAAAATGCTGGTGGCAGCTGTTGCCATAAGGTTGAATGTTCAGCTAAGCAAATTGTTCTAACTAGAGGACTGCCTGCATCAAGCTGCTTATGCAGAGAGAGGACGCTTCCAAGGAAACGTTCGCCAAAATTTCCCCCTTGCAGGCTTTCCATAATAGCAGCCCCCGATCCAATAAGCGCGGCATAAGTTCCCCTGGTTTTGCGGTATGGACAATCCCATCGGGAAGAGAAACCCGGCGTAGGGCCTTTCGGCTAATGAGGCTTCCAGCGGCTTGTGGTCTCATCCTCCCAAGATCATTAGAAGCCCAGCAGGATTCAAAGCACCCCGATGAGGCCCTCAGCCAAGGGAATCTGACCTCCGCTTGCCTTTCAGTGGAGACTTGCAAAGTTGTGCACACCCCTCCCCGTCACACCACAGGTGTCTGGCGATGCCCCTTGGTGCGCTCCACTGTGTAGGTAAATTCAACGGGGCGAGAAAAACATGGAGGCAGCTGGTATCCTTAAGGCACCCCGCCTTCTGTTTACTACGGAACACGTTGTACTCCTAAACAAATAGGGTTGTAACCGTCCCCCGTGATGTAATGATGGCCTCGGCCATCGACCTTGAGGGCTGGGCCCCACTATTTTTCTTTTCCGGACAGAAGGAGATCTGTTTTTATAACTTACACAATAAAGCACCGAGCACTTTCTGTCCTGTTGGAACCGCTGCTCAGAAAGAGGCCCAGGGTAGAAAAAGCTACTTGCTTGGCTAAAAGCACGAGGACGATTTACGACGGAGCCTTGACTTCTCTAGTCTTCACTGCACAATGAAGATGAGATTTCAGAGGTCCCGAGTATCGTTCCTGACAAGAGTTGAAAAGAACGGCCAGTAAGAAGGGGGAACAAGGATCTGCGTTAATAAATGACGTGTTACTCAACCGAAACCTGGTTTAATATGGATGACCAGGGAAAAGCATTAAGGCCCTCCGCTCTGCCAAAGCTGATAGGACTTTTTAATATATATATATATATATATACACATTCTCTATGCTTGGGTATCTCTCATATATATGTGAATATGCATATTTCTGGAACAAAGAAACAACAACCCACCAACCATGGGCGATTTGATCTGAGGAGGGTGAATCTTGCAGGAAGGCAGTATCATCGCCAAAGCTGTCCTGAGGTTGCTAGTAGAAACGTACAATCTCATAAGGGCTGACGGTTTTTTCTGTTTGTTCATGTCAAGATAGACAGGCAGACACACTGACTGACTGACTGACTAGAAAGTACAAACACATATTCACGCGTTGTAAAATATTTTCAAAGAAACAGCTTGTCAATTCAGTGTACGACCCTTGCATAACGACAGCGTCCGAAACAAAAACGCAAGGGAGTCAAGCCCAAGTTGTTTTTACACGCTCGTCCTTTCTTATCCCCCCTTCTCCTCATCCTTCTACCCCAGAAGGCAACAAAAAGGAGAATGTTTGCAATTCAGGCTTGAAATGAGGTGTCCTTGGTGCTCTCTGTGCTGGGTAGTTTTCCTGCGGACATTTAATTACCCAACCGGGTAACATCATCAGTGCTAGAAGGGGACCGGGGTTTGTTCTCGGGTTTACATGCTAGTGGCTTGCCCGGTCAGCGTTGGTGGGGATGGTTTGGGAGGTTTCTACTGTCCCAGTAGGAGTAAAATCAAGCTAACAGCCTGACCAACTGCCATTGGGGCAGCAGAATCTGCCCCAAGGCCACTTTTAGCAACACGGACAGGGAAGACACTAGAACTAGAGATGGTATCCAGCCAGTTCTGACCAGTTCTGGAGAACCGGAAGCAGAAATTTTGAGTAGTTCAGAAAACCGCAAAATCCTACCTCTGATTGGTCCCAGCCCCATCTATTCTCCGCCTCCCAAGTCCCAGCTGATTGGCTGGGTCTTCTTTGGTTGCCCTGCACAGGAGAATGGAGCTGGAAAGCAGGTTAGTGGGGTGGGGAGGGAAGGGGGGATTTTGCAGTATCTTTACCACGCCTACCAAGCCACACCCACAGAACCAGGAGTAAAAAAAATTGCAATCCCACCACTGACTAGAGTATAAACAGAGAACAAACCCCACTCCCTCCGATGATGTTATCTAGTTTGGCTATTGAAATGTCTGCATGAATACAGCCAAGCTCAGAGAGGCCCAAGGACCCCGGGCAGAAAGATGGCTTGGCAACTTTCAGAAGCTGAAAATAATTGCTCAGGTTAATAATATGTTCCAGTGTTAGCCAGTGAACAGTCAAACGTACAGCTGTCTCGTACTTCCTGTGGTGAGGTGAGGAAACCTTTCGAAGCTTCTGTCTTAAACCCACCCTTCTCTCTTCCAGGGACACGTCTGGCCAAGGAAGGTTCTGTACTATTTTTCGATCTTATTCCAGAGGAGCCCAGGTGAGTCCCACTAGCAATATTAAATGAGGCTGCTCTTTTTCCTCAGCACAGACCAAGAGCCAGTTGGAACGAGAGCCTTGCCATAAGTCATCTCTGTTTCCCTTTAAAGCAGGGGTCCCCCAATTCTTGAGCCGTGGATATGATCCTGGCCCATGGCCCACTAAAAGCCAGGCTGCACAAGCAAAGTTTCATTCTGTATATGTGGCGGGATCTAGGTAACGTGTGAAACCACACCATCCCCGGTGCCCAAAAGGTTGGGGACCACTGCCTTAAAGGATTCCTTCCCTGTTACTTAAAATCTGTAACTTAAAATCTGACAACTGGTCTTTTCTTTCTTCGGGCTCTGTTTCTATCCAAACTAGCTTGATACCCGTGCTTTGCTATGAAACTATGTGGTCGGGCTTAGTTTTTGGGGAGGAAAATAAGGAGAGAAAAAAAAATGCGCCCCTGCCTACCAGCATCCATCGGTTTTCATCTGGCTAGCGTCCTGTCAGTGTGTGAGAGAGTTGAGGGCTGTTTGGAAACTGAAAGGGTATTTGCTGTGTGAGCAAGAAGGAGACAGCAGGGAGCCCGGGCGTGGCTTAGCTCAACTGTTCTGTACTAAAGCTGCTTGGTGCTGCTGTGAAACTGAAACTCCTCTGCTTGTGTTTTGCATTTGGAAGAGATTTCTTTTCAGGTGGGGAGGGGGAATAGAACTCCTTAGCATCAGATTGTGTTAATAATATAGGAAATACTAATAGCTCTGGTGGTCATTTTGAAAAATCCTTTCTTAGTGAGCACCTAGAGGCGAAGAGGAAGATACGTGCCAAATGTCAAGTTTGTAGGCTTTATGGTTCTGGAGATTTTGTGATGATGCATGAGTGGTATTTTGCTTTTAAGATATATATAAGATGTGTGTGTGCGTGTGTGTGTATTGTGTGAACTTTCAGATTACTTTCAGTATCAAAGGAGGCTGATTCATTTTGTCATGTGTACTTGTCAATATTTTAATTCGTTCTTGTTTTATTAATTTTTTTTTCTTCACTCATAGTAACAAGTAAGTTTAGCACCTGTATGGATAAGTCTCAGGAACCGATTCACAGAATAGTTGTGACTTATAACCAGAGTGGGTCCCACGGGGGCTCCGTGCATCAGATTTCTCAGCTCAAGAGATCTGATTTTTCTCCTTGTGTGCAAAATATGCCATATGAAATGCTTCTGGAGAATAAGAAAAAAGAAAAGTCAGTTTTCTGCATTGGCAGTTTGCTTTCCTGCATTGCACAATTATTCTTGCCACTGAAAGAAACCGCCTCAGCGACATGACATGGAAGCCAAAGGGGAGATAGCTTCCCTGCCTGCCCTTAATGCAAAAACATTTTGACATGGAGATGCCTTTTGATAGAGCAAACCTAAAATTAATTTAGCGATTTAGCGGGCCACAGCCCACGGCTTAGGGTGTCGGGTAGGCCACCCAGAATCACTTCTCATGAGATGGACAGCCCTGTAAAATTGATCCATAAATAATATAAATAAACAGAGTGTTTTGATCCACACAGGGCATCCTCTTGGTGTACGACATCACCAATCGCTGGTCTTTTGATGGAATAGACCGATGGATCAAGGAAATCGATGAGGTGAGCGGGGCAGAGCTTGGGTTTTGAATGCTCTTAAATGCACTAAAAGTGACCTTACCTTGGTCCAATCACAATGCTCCGTTCTGAGGTCAGCAACCTTACGTTAAAAAAAGGAGTAAGAAACAGGGAGCGAAGTAAAGGAAAGAAAAGCTAAACCAGGGGATACCTGCCCCGTTAAGAGCCTCAGTGGCGCAGTGGTTAGAGTGCAGTACTGCAGGCTACTTCTGCTGACTGCCGGCTGAGTGCAATTTGGCAGTTCGAATCTCACCTGCTCAAGGTTGACTCAACCTTCCATCCTTCCAAGGTGGGTAAAATGAAGACCCAGATGGTTGGGGGTGATAGGCTGACTCTGTAAAACCACTTAGAGAGGGCTGGAAAGCTCTGTGAAGCGGTATATAAGTCTAAGTGCTCTTGCTATTAACTATATCCATATCTTTTTGCAGTTGGGAATGATTGCCCCAGAGGTGCTTTCCAAAAGGCGACTGGACTTTCTTGTTTGTTTGTTTGTTTATTTAAAAATATTTTGCTTCACCTCCAAGAAGCTTTTTCGGTTCCAGAAGTGAAGAAGCTTCTTGGATGAGAAGCAAAATGTTTTCAAGAAATAAACTAAGTAAGTCCAGTCAGGAAATTTCACCTTAGTTTTGGGTTGCTTCTCTCCTTGATTAGTTTCCACCCATTGCTTCTTGTCCTGCCCTCAAGAGCTTTGGAAAATAGCTTGACTCCCCCTTCTCTGTGGCAGCCCCTCAAATACTGGAGCACTGCTATCATGTCTCCCCTAGTCCTTCTTCTCATTAAACTAGAAAGTTTAATTAAAGGTGCACAGAACTGCTTGATCGGTACAATAGATTGCCAAATGTAAAGAATGCTTAAGATGGAAGCTTGGATGGCGCATGAATACCAGTGTGTGTAACGTCATTCTGTGTCTATTTAAAGCATGCCCCCGGGGTGCCCCGGATCTTGGTTGGCAACCGCCTTCACCTAGCCTTCAAGCGGCAGGTGCCCACGGAGCAAGCCCGATCCTACGCAGAGAAGAATTGCATGACCTTCTTCGAAGTCAGCCCGTTGTGCAACTTCAACGTGATCGAGTCCTTCACCGAGTTGTCCCGCATTGTGCTGATGAGACATGGCATGGAGAAGATCTGGAGGCCCAACAGAGGTGAGTAAGCTTAATTCACTCCCCTTTCTGTGGAGTCCTTAACAGATTAACAGAGTTGGAAGGGATCTTGTAGGTCATCTAGTCCAACTGATAGCCGTCTCACCTCTTATGGAAAGCCTCCAGGGATGAAGCTCCCACAACTTCTGTTCCACGGGTTGATTGCTCTCCCTGTCAGGAAATTTCTCCCCTGAGCTGTTCAGAGCATCCAGAATTGGGGAGGTGCTTCAGTCTCTTCTGGAAAGGCTGGGCTTAAAACTCCAGGACGCTCCTCCTCCTCCACGGGACACCTCCTCAGCGTCCCCCAGTTTTAGCTCAGCCTTCGCGGTAAGAGGTTGTGCACTCCCTGACTGGAACGGTTTTCTGATTCAGCTAGTCAAGATTCAGGTTCGTCTTGGGTTAATTCGGCTTGCAAATTTTTCCCGCCTATTAATCTAGCGATTTCAAGGCTTGTGGCTCTATTAGGTTATCCTCCCGATCAGTTGAGAGCAGCTCTTTGTGACTGGCGGAGCCTGCCACTTTGCAGGCAGTCTGAGACAGCCGCTTCTGGCAATTAGCCTATCTAATTCCCCGATCCGTCTTATCTTTGCGGTCTTGCCGGAACGCTCGCAGCCGCAGCTCCCTTCTCCTTACAGGATCATTTGTCTGACATTTTGGAGAGTCAGCAGCAGCGGCTCGTTCAACTGCTCAGGCATTTAACATCGGAGATTCTGCCTTCCCGCCTTTTTAAACGGCTGGCTTCAAGTTCGCACCTAAATATTACAGGCGCCATTCCCTTCTTGGGGACCGTGGCAAGTACTTTCCCACTCCACTTTCCTGGGATTATTTCTCTCTTAGCCTGCTGGCGTTGGATAAGCAGGCTAGTCCTTAAACAGGAATTGCTTTTGGATCATCACATTGGAGCGAAGCCTCAAGTACCATTTCAAACAGCGGGATGTTTTTGACAGGAAAGGATCCATCCAGGACCTGTATAGCTGGTTTCCCTTGTTGGGGACCAGGGATCTTGAATATTTCTTGCTTGGAGCACTTGGGGGGTTTCCCTTGCTAGGGACCCTTAGATACTGTTTCCCATATATACGGGCTTACATATAGATATAGGCATATGTATATATATGTGTGTTTGTATATAGAGATATATATATATAGACTTAGACTCCTGGAGAAGCGCCCTACTTTCAACCACAGGGGTAGGCACCACCCCTAAGTACAAATCATCATCATCAACATAATTTTTTTAAAAAAATTAAAGTTAGAGTCACGAGATTCAGTCCTCCACAATGGAAGGTGACAATGTCTTCTGCTCCAAGACAAATAAGTCCCAAGATAAGTCAGTGGGCCCCAAAAAGGCCTCTAAGGCGGCGGATAAGGATGCCCATAGACAGCACCAAGCCTTGGAAAGGCAGTGGCAGAAAACGGGCCAGGGAGGCGGACAAGATGGCTGTGACACAACAATCGGATTAGGGCCCAAGTACATTGTTGGGGCCCTTGGACTTATCCACCCAGCCAATCAGAACACAGCCAACCCCCACCAACCAATCAGAACACAGCCAAGCCCCCACCCAATCAAGTCACACCCCCACTAGCAGTTAAAAGGAAGAAGCAGCTGCAAGCTCACATTACTCCAAAAAGCACAGAGCCGAAGACACAAGCCTGAAGATGATGAATGAGACTTCATCGAAACGTTGCCTAGATACTTCCAATTTTATGCGGGAGAAAACCCGAATAACCAAAGATCCATAATTATTTGTGTGTGTGTGTGTGTGTGTGTGTGTGTGTGTGTGTGTTAAGTTTTGTATGTATGTATGTATGTATGTATGTGTGTACGTGTACGTATACGTATATATATATATATATATATATATATATACACATATACATATATACATATACATATATATATATCAGAAAACAAATACATATATATATATATATACATATACATAAATACATACACACACACACACACACACACACACATATCTCCTTTGTAGCCCCAGGCTTGATATCATAACCAGCTCTTGAGGTGGTTATTTTCAGAACATCAAAAGAAATAATGAAGTTAATCTTAATTTCAGGAGGGAAGGATGTTCCATAAAGGCGGGCACTGCAGCAGAGAAGAATTGGATTAATAAATTAGATCTAATCAATAAATAATTAAAGCCATAAAATAGTGGGGCCTTAGAGATCATTTTCACCACCTTGCCTGCGGCCTGCAGCCCCCTTTTAATTTTTGCAAAACTTCCTTGGCAAGCCAACTTTCTTGTCTTCCTCTGAGGTGCAGCTCATCTGGTTGGCCAGAAGATGGCAATGCCTAATTTCTGTGCCGGAGACGAATCTCTTGTCTGGCACAGAAGCACCCCGTTTTCCTGAAAGCTGCCATGTTCTCTCCTGCCCTCCCTCTTGAGGCCTGTGGACAAAAATACGCATCAAAAAGTGGGGAACTGGTAGGCTCTGCACCAGGAGAGGAACTGCTGGGTTTACTGCTCATGTGTAGATCCAGGAGCGTGGATTCACCAGAAGAGGAAGAAGGGAAGGAAGCGAATTTATCTCTGCCTGGCTAGAGTAGTAATTCGATAGGTTGCCTTGGGATGTGGCATCAGATGTTAGCCTGAAGCCGTGCCTGGACATCACCATCTCCTTTAATGTCTGCCTCAGAGCAAACGTCCCAGCCTCATGAAGCAGACACTTGAGTTCATCGAGTTAACCAGACAGTTTTTATTTTTATTTTACTCGTTCGTCAGACATGCACACGATAACCAGTATAGGTATGAACATAAACAAGAGCAAAGGGAGTAAATACGCAGTAGATTAAATGGGGGCTGTTAAGACAGGGACGGTAGGCGCGCTGGGGCGCTTATGCACGCCCCCTTTACAGACCTCATAGGAATGGGGTGAGGTAGGCAGTTTGAGGTTGAAGCTGTGACAGTGCAAGGCCTTAAGTTCTCATGGGTAGTGATGCACCTTTGCTGCTTGTAGAGTCCGGTCCAGGATATGTTGGGAAGGGGTCAGAGTGCAGAATGGTTTGCCTGAGGTTGTCCAAGCATATCCACACTGGACTGGGTTCTAGCCAAGTCTTCCTCCCACCAGAAGGGAATAAGAGGAGATGAGCCAAACCTACTTTACTGTAAGGCTAAATTAACAGAGTATTGCAGGGCTAATAGTACAAATCTCCCGCCATCTTTTATTTTTTTAACGTCCATAAGTCAAGGCAGGACCCCCCTAAGTTTCTTCATCTGACTATTAAGCCACTGGGGGCTCCTCCTTTTCTTAACTGGTCCTTCCCTAATGTCCCTCGCCCCCTCGCCCCTCAAGGTCATTCTCATATTCCATCGTTCGCACCTCTTAGACTAGGTCAGTCCTCTCACATTCTGTTTTCAGCCAGGGAAGCCATTTTAATAGTCATCTCCGGAGATTTCTTCCCCTTCTTGTTTTCCCCACAACAACAACCCTGCGAGGTGAGTGGGACTGAGAGAGAGAGAGTGACTGGCCCAAAGTCACCCAGTTGGCTTTCATGGCTAAAGCAGGACTAGAATTCACCACCCCCCAGTGATTGGCCCAAAGTCACTCAGTTGGCTTTCATGCCTAAGGTGGGACTAGAACTCACCATCTCCCGGTGATTGGCCCAAAGTCACTCAATTGGCTTTCATGCCTAAGGTGGGACTAGAACTCACCATCTCCCGGTGATTGGCCCAAAGTCACTCAGCTGGTTTTTATGCCTAAGGTGGGACTAGAACTCACAGTCTCCTGGTTTCTATCCCGGTGCCTTAAGCACCAGGCCATACTAGACTTATATCCTTGACTCCACCCTTCCAGAATTAAACTTTTCTTCCTTTTTCCACCACCGCCGTCTCTCCCCCGCCCTTCAGTGTTCAGCCTCCAAGACCTCTGTTGTCGGGCCATCGTTTCCTGCACGCCGGTCCACCTGATCGATAAGCTCCCGCTTCCCGTCACCATCAAGAGCCACCTGAAGTCCTTCTCCATGGCCAATGGCATGAACGCCGTGATGATGCACGGCCGCTCGTACTCCCTGGCGAGCAGCGGAGGGGGCAGCGGCAGCAAAGGCAACAGCCTGAAGCGCTCCAAGTCCATCCGCCCGCCACAGAGCCCGCCGCAGAACTGCTCGCGGAACAACTGCAAGATCTCTTAGCGGGGGAAGCGCCCCCGGGACGGGACGGGACGGACGGACGGGACGGGTCCCCTCCAAGCGCATGCACCTGCACCTGCTCGCCGATGTACAGATGTTGAACACCGCACGTCACCCATCCCATCGGCCACGGGTTTGCAAAGAACACCGGCTCAGCGTGGCAGGAGCCTGGGCAAAAGGAAGGACAAGGGCCGCACCACGTTAGCTTTCCCAGAATGCAATAGGTCTTCCCCTTCTCTGGCAGGAAAGGACCAGCAGCTTCCAGGGTGTGGATTTTTCTTCTTCTGGGTTTTTTTTTTTGGGGGGGGGGGGGGGCGGGGGGGGTTTGAGGAGGAGGGGGGGGTCGATACGGAGGGCAGCGTGCTGCCACTTTAACCCTTGCTTTTTCAAGGGGATTGCCGGTGCTACATGGAAAAAGAAACCACCACCCCCCAACATAAGTGGGGACCCCCCCTCCCCTCCCCCCGGTTGGACCGACGTGACCCAGACGGAGTCCTGCTTTGACCAGGCGAAGACTGTGGCTGCCTGGAGCTCCTGAGGAAGCAGGCCACTTCGAAGTCTCTTTGGCTTTTATTTATAAAGAAAATTAGCTCATTTCCCTGCCGTCTCCCCTCTTCCCCCCGCAAACTCTGCACCTCCGGTCTGTTTTTTTAAGCCAAGGCTACGGAGAGAAGGGAAATCTCTTGTAAATAGAAGCCCTGAGCCTTGAATTTGGGGGCTAATTGAAGTCAGAGGGGTGGGGGCGGCTGGCAGGGGTCAGGAGGTGAAATGATCTAACACTCTGGAGAGTTGTTGGCAGTCTTGAGATTCCTTTTCTTTTCTCTTCTCTTCTCTTCTTTCTTCTCCAAAAGAATAGATGAAGATGAATAGAGAAAGGAGGAGGAAAGGTTTTCCATTCCTTCCCCTTTTTCTTTTCTCTTTTCTTTTTTTAAACCGAAGTTTCCCAGGCATTGCTGGTTAGCAAGTGCACACGGCTCAGACAGACAGCAAAGAAAAGTCAGGCTTGAATTGGGATTACCTGCTTGTGGGAGCGGAGCGGAGGGGGTTGTTTGCTAACGTCCACATCTGGAGTTGGTTAGCGGCTGATCAGGCCGAAGCCCTCCCTGCCTTCAAGAGAAGGAAGGCAGAAAGGGTTGGGCATATCAGAATTCAGCAGTCCCAGAAGATCATGGTTGGAGCGGGACAGGATATTCTCTTCCCCAGTTGCTTTCCTAGTTGGGAGGTTGGAGGGCGATGTACCATCCAGACTTCCTGGTGTAACTAGCCTCTTTAGCCCAGTTTTTCGGCCCATACAGAAATAATTTGCATGTTTTCGGCATCAGCTCGGATCAGCTGCAATTGGCATGGGTGGTGGCTCCAACCTGCTGGGCTGGCTAATCCAAAGCTGTTGGCGGGAGACTTTCCAAGATGACCGTAGCAATTCAGGGACTCTGGTTTGCCTTGTTCTTCAGGCTCTGCCACACGGCCACTCCAAGGTTGTGCCAAGAAGCCCTGGACTGGTGAGAGCCTCTCCTAAGAACCAGGCCCAAGCACAGATTTCTTGAAAACCAGAAGGGGATATTGGGAGGAGGTGCAACTAGCCCCCGCCTCCTCCCCCCCCAAAATATTTGAAGCTGTCCTTCAATGTTATCCCTCTCGTTCCGTGGCAGAATCTTTCTTCAAACCGAGTAGCAGCTTTGCTCTTGTGTGTGTGTGTGTGTGTGTGTGTGTGTGGCTTCTGGGCTGTTTCTGGTGCTCTCCAGCTAAAGGTTGACTTGGGCTAGTTTTGTGTCTCATACGCCAGCCAGCTGTTACGTCCGCAAATATGGGTCTTCCAACCTAGTTTAGAAGTCTTCTAAAACAGGGCATCCTCCGCAACGTTAAGACTGGTGGATTTCAACTCCAAGCATTCCCCTGTCGGCCATGATGGCTGAGGAATTCTGGGAGTTGAAGTCCACCGGTCTTAACGTTGCCAAGGACGGAGACCCCTGTTCTACAGGCCTTCTCACCTGGGTGGACATTGAAAGAACCCCAAAAGAAACAGGGAAAGCGTTAAAAGCCAGGCAGGGCTTAAATTTGGATGACACCAGCACAAAGGGGTCCTTGGGTTTTTTTTTTGTTAGTTTAGCTAGTTCGCCCAACCCAAGACCCCCCTTCTCCCCCTGCTCCATTCCTCATGGCTCCCCATTAGCCTCTTCTCCAAGCCGCCTTCTCCCTCCGCGGGTGCCACCCAGAGGAATCGGTTCCCCCGTCCTGCCACGAATGAAGTGGGCTGCATGATGCTGTTCATCACCCGAGGGCACAGCTGATCGCCCATTTTGTTCCAGGGGAAAAAATATGTGTGTTTTGTTTTGTTTTGTTTTTGACAAGCACCCGGTTGGCACCTTCCATGCCTCCCTCGGCCGTTGGGAGATCGCTTGGCACCGAGCGAGTCCCAGCGCTCGGACCAGCTCAAAGCCACGTGGCAGGGAAGGGTCAAGGGCACGGGGGATAAAACCTCCGACGGCCTCTTCCTGGCCCGCGAAGAAAGCAAGTGCCAAGCCAAGGGCGGGGAGCGCCAAAGCGCAGGGAGATTTACGGGGTATGTCCGCCTAGCCTTTGCCACCTGTCGCCGTCTGCTCAAAGCAGAGCAGGACACAAATCGCTGACTCAAAGGCCTGGCATTCTGGAGCGGCGCAGGGGAACAGGTGATGCAGGAGGCAGCCATCTTTCCACCCTGGGTTTTAAAATAGCCCCTTGCTAAAACAGCCCGAGAATGCGTGCATTGTGTGTGTTTCTTCTGTAGAATTACAGGGAATCCTCAACCCGGTGTGGATCGGCACTTAGCAACTCCTCCTGTGGTCTTCCTTTGATCCCAAGAGGTAGTAAGCACGGCTGTTTTCCACCCAGAAAGTCAAAAGAGGCTGCCGATGGAGAATCGAGATCCGATCGCCTCTTTATCAATTTCCACCTCGAATCAAAGTGAAAACCGTTTCAACCTCACCCTCTGCAGATTTCTCCTCAGTCCTCCCCTGCGCATTCTTGGTTTTTGTTTTCAATCCTGGAAGATTTTTGCAGAGGTGCCTTGCTCCAGTACGCCGGCTGATCCAATCCGAGCTGGGTTTTGTTTCTACCTTATATTTTATTAACGTTCCAAGAATGTGATCCGAGAATCAAACACTAAAAACTCGCTGCTGTGGGATTACTCTTCCTCCTGTTTTTAAATGGCTTTGTACAGTCGACGTTAAAAGTGACGGTTTTTATATAAATTAAACACACCATCACGGGGGAAAAAAAACATTCCGGCTGGAGAATTTTTGTCCGGGGATGAGCTTAGACGGCGCTGCTTTTCAGAGGATGACGTTGAAGGACAGGGCGAGGGCAAAGAATGGGCAGGGTGGATTTAAAGGGATTAAGGGAGCTTGTGTGGATGTGATATTCCCAGGAGAGGACAGTGGAAGGCACTTGATTAACGGCCTCATTTGAAGCAGCCGGGGACTTAAGAGCCGGATCAAAAGGAGAGAGATGTTTTCTTCGCACTTGACTAGGTAGAGAATCTCCCTTCCGTGCCAGGGCAAGGAGGGGTTGGCACACAGGGGCCTGCAGCTCCCTCCTGGGTCCCGCAGGTAGATTTTATTTGGAACTTTTCAGAAAAGAACTTCCTGGGAAAGTTACAACAACAACAGCTTGATCTCACTATGTTTTGTTTTGCAGCATCTTTAGAAAGTAGTGTCTTCTAGTACTACAACTGCTGTGTTGACGAAGAGAGAAGGCAGGCATTTAAAAAAAAAAATCCTCTCTTGGTTTTAGAAATAAGACAACAAACATGGGTAATACCCCTTTCCTCTTATTTTCCCCAAAACAACAGCCCTCTGAAGTGGGATGGGCTGACAGCAGCACTGGCCTAAAATCACCCAGTCAGCTCTCATGCCTAAGGCGCATTGTTTCCTGGGTGGTTGGTCCAAAGAGACCCAGCTGGCTTTTGTGCCCAAGGCAGGACCAGAATTCACCCTCTCCTGGTGATTGACCTAAAGTCACCCAAATGGGTTTCATACCTAAGTCTAATGAGACTAGAATTCACTATTTCCTGGTGATTGACCCAAAGTCACCTAGATGGCTTTCATGTCTAAGTCTAGTGAGACTAGAATTCACCATCTCCTGGTGATTGACCTAAAGTCACCTAGATGGCTTTCATACCTAAGTCTAGTGAGACTAGAACTCACTATCTTCTGGTGATTGACCTAAAGTCACCTAGATGGCTTTCATACCTAAGTCTAGTGAGACTAGAATTCACCATTTCCTGGTGGTGGTGTTATTTGCAAAGTCATCTCTGACCCATGGCGACCCCGTGGACAACATTTCTCCAGGACTTCCTGTCCTGGGTGGTTGGCCCAAAAAGATCCAGCTGGCTTTTGTGCCCAAGGCAGGACCAAAACTCACCATCTCCTAGTGATTGACCTAAAGTCACCCAGATGGCTTTCATGCCTAGTGAGACTAGAACTCACTATCTCCTGGTGGTGGTGTTCGTTCCGAAGTTGTGTCCAACCCATTGTGACCCCATGGACAATGTTCCTCCAGGCCTTCCTGTCCTCTACCATTCCCCAGAGTCGATTTGAGCTCAGGCTGACCGCTTCAGTGACTCCATCCAGCCCACTCCTTCTCTGCCGTCCCCTTCTTTTGCTCTCCATCGTTCGTTGCCCTCAGACTAGAACTCACTATCTCCTGGTGCTTGGCTCAAAGTCATCCAATTGGCTTCTGTGCCTAAGCAGCACTAGAACGCACTGCCTTCTGGTTTTGTGCCTAGTGCCTTAACTGCTAGACAAAATAACCGCTTAAATTTAAGAAATCTCTCAGGAAAAAAAGAATTACACTTTCACAATTTGATTTGTATCCTCGTTCTTACGGAACATATAGTAGCATAATGTAGAAGCCATATACTTTTCCTTTCAGCCATTAATTCGTGCCCTCTTTCTTAACCCCATCTCAGGCCTTGTTATCATACCATGGTCAAATTGTGCCTGATTATTTACGAAGTCTTTAATCTCTTCGCTTAGTAAAACATCTAGTGATGCAGACACTTACAAACCTTACAAGATAAGTGAGTCTTCGAAAACATTTTTATCACTATCCCAAGTTATGGAGCTTTCCTTTAGATGGGACAAGATTGTGACGCTGTGTGTTACACAGCAGAAGGACAGATAAGATGTGTTTTTGAATAGTTTTCAAAATTATATTTTAATTTCCTGCAATGACGCAGCTTATCCAGTCCGTACTGATATACAGCTCTGTTGCTGAAGTGGAGCAGAGGGTATTTGTAATCTCTGGACTCTTCCATTTGAGCTACAGACAGACATCCTGG